ACCACAACAACAACAACAACCACCACTACAACCACAACAACAACAACCACAACAACAACCGCAACAACAACACACAACAACAATAAGAACACACAATAACAACAACACACAACATCAATAAGAACACACAATAACAACAACAACAACAGCCACAACAACAACCACAACAACAACCAACAACAACAACAACAACAACAACAACCACCACCACAACAACCACATCAACAACCACAACAACAACAACACACAACACACAACAACTAATACTTTGCAGCTGATGTTATCAACATTGTCTGTGGGTGTGATGCTGTCTGAAGTTCTGTTACTCAAGTTACTCTTTAAGCGGAGCTTTAATTTAACACAGTCTGATCATAAAGAGCTGGTTTAGCTGGAAGTACAGGTGGGGTGATTTATGCTGTTAAACAACTCTCTCACACATAAAATCACAGTCACAAGCTAGTTAGCACTAGCCAACAGTTAGTCACTCTCATGTTTTAGTTGAAAATTAAATACCTAAATTGGACCATGAACACTTGTATTAATCACAGGCTCCTGAAAATTGGTTGTTTAAATCCATTTTGCATTTTTTTCTTGAGTTTTCAGACAGCCTTAAAACTTTTTTGTCAGTATTTGCTAATATATACATTGTGTCACCATGATAACGACTGAAGAGTCCACCATAGAGATACATGCAGAACCCCCTCAGCATGATGCCATTGCAAAGTATCATTTGGATACATTGGCCCAGCGGATTTCAAATCACTGACCTTCACGTTGTTGGACGAACACTCTAAACACCAGCCCTCTCAGCTTGGTGAGTTTGCATTTTGCCATTGTGTCCTTGAGCGAGACACTTCTTATTCTGGCACTTCAGATGTCTATAAATATGTGGGAGACTGGAGCGTTCACTATGCTAAAATGTAAATGTTATTAGTGTGAATAATAACAGTGGGTAGAATAATAATAAGATTCATCGAGTTTTTATATCAATGCAGATGCTATTGCAAGACGTGCATAAATTATTTTAATGTGAAATTTGAAAGTCTAATGCTAAACTCAAGGTCATGGTATGTTATGTATTGTGTTTGTTTTGAATAAGGATATGGTTGTAGTACACGTCTCCAGGGCTAAAACTGAAAGAGGGATAAATATTTACATGAGGCGTCATTACATGTAATTAGCATGTAGAGTTTAAAGTGTACGCTTCTACTGACTCAACACTGTCAAGACTATCGAGTGATGAAAATTATAAAGATGTTAAGCTTGGTGTAATATAAATATCCAAAGTTATTAAAGAGTCCATGTTACCCTATACCCTATACCCTCTAATCTATGTTATAATGTTATTTCCTCATCACAAACATACCTGGACTCATGTTTTGTTTCATTCACACATGTTTAACACACAAACCCTATTCTTCTCTAAAACTGAAGACACTCTGTTCCACCTTGTGATGTCATGTGGCAATACAGGGCTTGCTCCATTGTGTTTTTAAACTCCATGCACATTTTTTTTATTATTTTCTTTAATTTTTCTATTACATTATTATTTTAATAGAATAACTTGGATGATTTCAGCCCTAGAATTGCCAATCTCATCTGAGCATAAGGTAAAAGCTGTAACTGTTAACATCATAGGGCATCACAGGGTGAAACTTGAGCTTGAGCTTTGAAGATGTAGGCAGACTAATAAAGTGTTACTCAAACATGTGCTAAGAAAACAAAACACACCTTCAAGTATATTTTTATGAGGTAACAACAATATAACGAGGCTAAAAGTTTGTATCTAACAATTTTGTATCGACGTTTAACATAGTTATTTTACTTTTCACTCACATCTTGCAATCTTCAAGACTCCTTTTTAACTTAAGGCTTCTAATATATATCTTTCAGATTCTAACCAGAACATGACTTTATGACAAGGTAAGAATCTCTACAGTTCATAGTCCAAAATGCAACTATTTTTATATTATATTATATATACACATACATACACACACACACACACACACACACACACACTCACAGTATTTTGTTTTTTCTAACTATTTTTTCTTACTATTTTGATTCATCTTGTATTAAATATTTTAACTTGTCTGATCTTGATCCAAAACTTGGCATGTTACCATGGAAATCAGCCATGTTTGACGCAGCAGTGCAAAACTCTTACAGAAATGCATTAGCCAAAACAAAAAGGAAAAAAAAGAGCTGTGGATCCAATAATATGCTAGGTCACTACTGACAGATACATTTATCACACTCTCAGAAAACCTTTAACACAAAATTTAGTATTTACCTTCTTAAAATCTCCATTGTCTTAACATGGCAAACTAAAATTATTCATAAGCTGTGGCCATAGACTGCAGGGCCTGTATATAATTGACATAGCTAACCCGCTTGCTGCCATGTTCCAAATAGGAAGCGAGCATGGGTGTGCTGCCGGCTCCATCAAGTCTGGCTCAATTTCACTTTATATTGAAAAAACATCACTGCTCTCTTTGTAACTGCTGCTGTCAGGCTGCTCATTTTGGTTTTAAAATGTTCGTATTAACCTGCTCTACATGATCCAGGTGTTTTTATTTTGCTTTTTTGTACGTAAATCCATTCCAATTGCTAATATGGAACTCAAATTTGCCCCATAACTTCAAGCCTCTGTAAGCTTCATTTGACTGGAGCCGAGCGCTATGGGTGGCATCACACTCTCTTAGGCCACTTCTTTATACAGTCTTTGGGTGTGACGACACAATTTATGGACCAGCCAACATTCTTAACATAACACAACCTGTCTGAAGAAGATAGCAGAAAATGAGCAATTCAAATGCCGGAGAAACTTTTTTGTAGGACATAAATTAACCTTTTTGGACAATTCGCTCCAGTCTCCCATGAACTCAGATAAATGGCCCAGGTGAAGATGAATGAGAGGAAGAATAACAATGATTAAAGTGGACTGTAACAAAAGAGGTGGTGGTGCAGAGGTGAGTGAGAGAGAGAGGCAGATGGGTGAGCGAGCTTGTGTCCTCATGTGGCCCATAGACACTTAGCAACCACAATAGAACATGCATAATACATGGACCTAGATATGCTTTTAGGACTTCACATTCACCAAGAGTAGTTTTAAGCTGCTGTTGACTGTGTTATAAAATTGTTTCCTCTCAAAAAACATAGAGCTACAAACTTTTGCTGTGATCTGATTCGAAAGTATAATCCACAAGTTTGAGCAACCCTGCATAGTTTACTCAGTCTCTTTTACATTTCATTATATTTCCACAGAGACAAGCAAGAAAATGTCCTTCTCTGGGCCAAGTATGAGTCAGGTCTGTGGAGATGTAAGTACTGTTCACTGCAGAGGTGGGACCAAGTCATTGTTTTGCAAGTCTCAAGTAAGTCTCAAGGTTTGACCTCAAGTCCGAGTCAAGTCCCAAGTCAAACACAGGCAAGTCCAAGTCGAGTCTCGAGTCACTGGCCCATAAGTCCAATCAAGTCCAAGTCGTCTGCTTTGAGCTTCAAGTCATTTCAAGTCTTTAAATCTAAGTACCAAACATAGCTTAAATTTTTGCAATTTATATAACATTTAAGATAAATTGTCCCCATAAAATCATAGTACATTTATATATGAGTATTTGTAGAGTATGTAAGAGTTGTAGAAATGTTATTTTTTCCTTTCTAAACATCTTGATGAGATCTTAGTGTGAATCATTACAGTCAGAATAGAAAGAATTCAGATTTAAAAGTGCTTCTCAAGTCTTCTCAAGTTACAGGGCTCAAAGTCCAAGTCGAGTCCCAAGTCTTAGTCCATTTTATCAAGTCAATTCTCAAGTCCTAAAAATAGTGACTCAAATCTGACTTGATTCCAAGTCATGACTTCCAAGTCCCCACCTCTGGTTCTCTGGTTCAGTGTAATGAAAACAACCAAAATGGAAAATACTAAATTTTTTTGGTCCATATATCAAGCATTTTCAACAGACTTGCTCAACTCATGTTGGTGATTCTGCATTTAGTTTCATAAAAAAATAAATAACTTTTCAATACACTAGCAGAAGCAGCCCTAGCACCATCTGCTGTCATATTGTTTTGAAAAAATGTATGTAAACCAATGCTTTGAGGTATTTCCCAAGAACCCAGGCAAACTTAAGCAAGCAGAAAAGGCATCCTATAGGATCTTTAATAAATTCCATACAAGCTTATGTGATGACATGAGCTGTCAGTTCAGGGTCTCTGAGAAAATGGGAGACAGTGCAAAAGTATTGTTCTTTGCCGTTGGGACTAAATCACTGTGTAAATCAATATCCCTGTCTCATAGCTGTAACAGTGCAGGAGCTAGACAAGCAAGTACCCTATACAATCAATCAAAACTTCAGGGTTTATCAGAAAACAAAAAGAAGCAACTTTATTTTTCTATTCAAGTTTTTAATGCTTTGGGGAAGTTGTAAAAAGTAGCACTTGAGTTTAAAAGAGTGATGAATGTTGTGATGTTGTCGTGGTATCCAGAGGGCACAATAATGACGAGACGCATCAATCTATATTACGGGTCTACCGCTAGTGCCGAACATCCAAGGGCAACAGAAATATTACATTGTCAATGAACATTTGTCATCGCTACCTATAGTTTAAAAGCTGCAAACACCCCAAACATTGCAAACTTTACTGTTTTATTTATTTTTTTTTTACTATTTTCTTCTGTCTTTAGAAATATGACTAATTAATCCGTAGTCAGCTCCAAACGTAACCGTAAAATCTGGATTGTATTTATAGCGTGCACTCAGATGACTCAATTTCATATTTAACTGGGGGATTATCCATATTTCATTTGAGTTTGACTATAAATGACAACGTTTCTATTGGTTCATTAATCTATCAATCTATGCTGTTTAGTTCTCTGATTGGCCATATAAGCGCAAGCTCCGCCTTTTTGCACCTGCCAGCCAATGAGAAGGCGTAAATCCGTCTGGAAGCCCCGCCCTCCGCGTACGTCCCGCCTCTTTCCACCGGCGTTCAATCGTGGAGCGGATTGACCATTGCATTGCGGCTCTGGCTGTGTGCGGGCTCGGGATGTGACAGACGTCTTACGGGGGGATCTACGCTGCATATAACAACGCACCGGAGCTGTAGACTGCGCTGTGAGGATACGGGAGCTCGCCGGGAGGAGTTTACGACACTACGGTGCGGAGGGAGACACGGGAGCGCGGCAGGCAGGAGGGACCAGCCGACACCGCTCGCAGAAATGGCGGAACACCACGCAGCAGGCGACGGCAAGCACAAAGCGAACTCCTCGGTGCACGGGAATAGCCGATCCGGAGCTGCGAGCGCGGGAGGAGGAGGAGGGGGCAAAGGAGGCCTATCGGGGGGACTGACACAACCGGCGGGGTGGCAGTCGCTCCTCTCCTTCAGTATCTTGTTCCTGGCCTGTCTGGCGGGCTTTAGCTCCAGACTTTTCGCCGTGATCCGGTTCGAGAGCATCATACACGAGTTTGATCCATGGTAAGCGAGATCTGACGCCGTGTCACTCCCGGGTTAACTCCGTGCAGGCGGCAGTGGGGGGAAAGAAAACGCTGGCTTTGATTTCTCCCCTTGGGCATAATTTATTTTTAACATCAAGAATAGCTTTGTGCAATGTCTGACTTTATTGCTGCTGCTAAACAAAACTTGCTTTCCCCAAGTAGTGTTTGGTGTTTTGTTCGTAGCACTTTTGCAGACGCACAAACCTCTCCACTGTCTTTTTGGGTACTTCGGGTACGTCGGACACGCTCTAATTTCTACTTTGACAGACAGAATCGGTGATGCAAGAACCCTGCATCCAGCAAATCTCGTTTAGTGGGGCATTGATTGAAGATAAGACTTAACTACAGCGTCTTGCCTGTATTAGGTATGGTAGCCTAAAAATTAATGTGTGACACACTAATCCTAGATGCTGACTGGATTAGGAGGCTCCGTTGATGATTAGAAGTGCAAAGAAAAGTTTTTAGGTTGTCATAAATCAGCTAAGAGTACATCTGTATGCTGTTGGTTATTGTTTTTTGCAGATTATAGCTCGTGCCCCAGGCTGTTGGCTCGCCTAACCCGGAAGCCCATTGATTCAGTCTAGTGTGTGTCATCACAATGCAGGATTATTTTGCAACGCACTCGTGTCACGTGGTCATACAAGTGTCCGCCCGGTGGCACTGTCCTATAAGTGCCCCATAGCTGCCCTGCTCCTCTCTCTCTCCCTCTGTAACTTGCGTTCATTCAGACTGATGTTTGTATTAATGCCCAGGGACAGGTGCTCCACCTTGTTACGGCCGACTTCCCTCTTCAATTACGGTGATAACTTGATTACGTTCCGGCTGCAAAAGGCCAAGGCTCCTCCTGGCTCTGCGTTAAGAAACAGGGCACCGGTTTTTCCATGGGTGAGATCCGGGGTGACCAACTGGTGAGCTATGACCCAAATTCATAGCCCAGAGACCAAGCAAGCTGTTTATTTCTTAGACAGGCTTATACGCTGAATTAAACTTTTATGGACGTGTAAAGCGTCCTTGTTGGGACCAAAGCAATAGCAAAAAGAATAGTGAGCAAAAGCACACTATCCCACAGCTAAACGTGGACCAAAAAGTGAGACTCCAAACAGAAAAACTTAAATGAATTTAGGTGAGAGGTTATTTAAAGCTACAATATGTAACTTTTCCAGCTCCAATTCACTTTGTATTATAAAATGTCACACTTTTATCTGTAACTGCTCCTGTTAGTTTCCTCATTTTGGTCTTAAAATGTTTGTAAGAATCTCAAGATTGAAGATGGAGCGTGTTTTTGTTTAGCTATTTTGTCCTTATATCAATCCCATATCAGTCTATGGTTGTACCTCATAACATCTCTTTGCATATTGAAAACATTGGTCACTATTGTAGATGATGTGCTTTTAAAAATGTATTGTCCTGTTGCCTTTATTGTTCTTGAAGCTGTTTTCTTCTCGTTACAGTCTAATATATCTCATTAAAGTGCAGGCTGGGTGGGCACACTTTGTTATCCTCCCCTCAGTAACTTGCTCTGTACAGTCTCTTCTCTGCTACTGATGCAGTTTTCCCCGAGCGATGCTATTAAGTGGCATCTGTTTCCCAGTAATGGTAACTGCGACTAAAAGTGCACAGCTCTTTATACTGGGCTAAGCTCTGTTATATTTGAATGCTAAAGATAACTTCTGCTCATTTCCAATTTAGCATACATATGGAATAAATGTTGTGTTTGTTTAGTTTCTATAATTTCTAGTTATTGTAATAATGATACTTTCAGAATACTTTATGGTCAAGGACAAAATAACTTCTTAAAATATACCAAAAATATCTATAATCTATTTTATAATGACCGCCCAGAAAGTTGGTTCAGTGCCAACTCCAGCCAGTTCACGGTTGTCCTTGAGCACGACGTTTTATCCGTCTTGTCAGTGTATGTATGTGGTTTGTGGATAATGATTGGTGATGGTCAGAATAGCTGTTGGTGCAGATTGGCAGCCACAGTCAGTCTCTGGGAAGCTGTGGCTAGTTTATCAATACAAATCTGAGGATTGAATGAATGAATCAATAAATCAAATCAATCAAATTATGGATGGGACGAGATCTCGTGCACATATGTTGTCAGTATTTAACTCTGCTTTATGATCAAACGTAAAAACATGAAAAAAATCTCACAAGATCATTTACGAGTTGTTTTTTTTTGAGAAGCTTCAGACCCAAAAAGCACTGCTACAGCGACAGCAGAAATATGAAATAAAGTCAATAAAAACGGTGAGGGCTGAATTGAGAACTGGATTGCACAATTTATTGTAAATATACAATAAATATAAATAATCTTGGCTGCCTCGTTCTTGTAGATCAAATCTCATGTCTCTATTTGAGATGTTTTATCATTGTGAAATATAAAGTTTTCTGATTGAACATTCAAATAGACAAGCTGTGAATCAAAGTCTGGCCAGTTAATTTTCATTCATTTTTGTCTCTCTTTCAACATATACTCTTTCTTTGTTCAGCCCCTTTCTTGAAACATTCCTCGGGACTTTTGCACATTTTTACAGATTAGAAATTGAAACGCATGAACAAGATTGTGTTTGACCTTTTTAACAATATGCCCCCAAGTAACTTCTCAGCCCTGTGTAATCCTAATCAACTCGATTTGAATCTGCCCTACATTTTTAGCAGGATTTGTAGCTGCAGTTTATGTCTGAATAAAATAACACGTAAATTATTTCCCATGCCAATCCTATTATATATTGGAAACCAGAATAAAATGTTATTTAAAGGTCTTATATTACAGAAAATGGACTCTTGTGAAGTTTTAACCATGTTATAATGTTGTTACAACCTCAAAAACAAACCTGGAGTTGTATTTTGTTTCATTCACCCATGTTTGAGTAACTCTGCATTATTAGTCTGTCTACATCTGTCTACATTAGTTCAGTAGACCAAATGATAGTGAAGGTGTATGGAGTTAAAAAAAAACAAACAAAGTAGAGCACTTCCTGTATTATCATATGACATCACAAAGTGGAACAGAGAAAACACAAGTCTGGATTTTTGAGGAAGTAACAGCATTATAACAGAGATCAGAAAGTAGTGTAGTACAGGCCCTTTTAAACACATTTATTTGCAGATGTAACAGTCGGTCACCTCTGGAAATGGAATCAGAGCGTCTCAAATTGCAGTCTTGTGATTGTTGCGTATCTACGGTAACCTCCCAGCCCTTTTCCACAAACCTTGTATTTAGCAGTGAGCGCATTGGACTGTTGATTGGTTGTGGCCATCCCCAGTGCACACAGATGATTACGGTGGTGGTGACTAAATGCTTCTATGATTTTTATTGATTTTTTTCCTCTCCTAGAGCTGCTATTATATGGCTGCCAGTAAATGTATACCTAACAAGTCTGGGGAAAATGATGGTCAGATTTTGAGACGGAAAGAAACTACATTATGGAATACTGATGAGGTTTAATAGAGTCACTACAAGATATTATCTATTGCAATATAACGGATTACAAGCCCCTTTGCTTAGGCCTGTGACGATAATTACTATTTTGTCTTCGTTCAGTATATGAAAGCTGGGACAGTATATATCAATATTTATCGTCTGTACATTTTCTTTTGTAATTGGAGGTATGTAATGCTATAGAGGGATGAATAAGTGACTTCTATCGCCAATTATTGATTCATTCTGCCATTTATTTGTTGCAGCTCAGGCTTTTTGAATGATGTTGTCTATTTAAATGATTTACTGGGATTATCTTGCTTTTATTTGTTGTGTCATTGCCTTAAAGTAGCTTCAGGACTATCTTTTATTGCAGTATATCTGTGTGCCAATATATCAGGCTTCAAAATTTGTTATTGCGACAAGCCTTGAGGGAACTACATAGACCATGATCCTTTGCTCCATTTCATTGCAAACAACATAAAGAATTCACTGTTATTAACAACATTTTAAATCTGACTGGACAAGCAATGATGGTACTGAAGTCTTGTAAAGACATTTTAAAAGACAAAAATCAACAATTCTGTTAGTCTAATTTTGTCTCTGCAGATCGAAATACATTTTTCTGTTATATTCAGTGTATTCAAGTATTTTACCATTTTTTTCTGGTATTGACAATCTCTGGCCCTGGTCCGCACTCTGGTAAAGCATTCCCACAACTACAGATATTGCAGGGTCCATCCAATTTGCAGTGGTAAATTTCTATCAAAAGGGCACAAGCAATAATGGGGAAGTGGACATAACATTTTTGAGGAATCTGTGTAATCAAACACCAATGAATGAGTAGTCATGACCTGGCAGATACCAACTCTGCTGCATAAACATTAAACAAATTAAATTTTGTTAATGGATTTTTTTTTTTTCCGCATTCCTCAAGGCGCTAATTGCTGTAACCGATCATCACTGTGTATTATAGATTCTGCAAAGTCAACAACATAAATAAGGCTTTTAAATTTTATTTCATTAACACCATTGACACCATCAAGGAATACATGCAAACAGCTCGACGTACTGTCATCACAAGACATCAACATGAACTTGTTTTTAAGCAGTCACTTGCGTGTTGTGTGTTTTTTATTTTCTTAGAAGTTTAGTTTTACAGATGAATAGATGAAATGAGGCTTTCGCAGTCCCACCCACACAACCTTAAGAACACAATATTATAGTGCATATAGAATTAACACAGACGGAGCATATAGTTTCATTTTTAAACCTACTCTTTCATCTCATCTTCTGAAAAATGAGCTTTGGGAATAGGACACATAACTAGCAAAATTTAAACCATTAAAGTAATTTTATGCTCTGACAAAAACTCCACATGGCAAATGTGGGCCAATTGGGAAACTAGTTTTGTGGTGAAGAAAGTACATTGTTGTTCATAGTGCATTTTTGTGCCCTTAATGCTGTTGCAAACATGGCTAAAGTGCTAACACAATATTATGAGTTAGAATTGCTAGAGAATGTAGTGCAGTGCTGTACCAAGGACACCCACT